ATTTTTTGTATTCTAAACAGAAAATAAAAAATATCTTCTATTTTGAGATATTAATACTTTAAATATTAAATAAATTCAAGAGTATTTTTATAATTTATTTAACATATTCCATTAAAGCTAAAGAGGTAATTAATGAAAAATAATTGTCTTTTCTTTTGTGTACATACATGCATATTTTGATCAACTAGTAATAAATATAAATGCACGATAAAATTGCCTCCTTTAAAAATTGCCTTTTTAATTCACCAGGATAATTATAATATCAATTTTAGAACAGTATAACTGTAGCCTTTATGTATAGTATAAAATACGTTAAATTATAACTTATTTCTACTGTAAGTTGGTACAAACTTTACAATGAAACAATTTGATCCAAGAATATAATTACATTATTCTAAAATTTGCTTTTCATCTCATGATCACACTATGAAAGATATTAATATTTGCCACCAACTCTTTATAAAGATAATTGTTCAAAAATATTTGTTATACTCATTATTATGTTCATTTTGAAATATGTGATAAAATTAAAATAATAAAAATATAATTGTATTGAAAACAATTATATTCAAATCAAAATATAAATTCAAATATTTTATCAAATCTTACACAAAATTAATAAATAACTTTCATATAAAATAATATACACATATGTTATAGAATTATAATGTAAGTATTCGTACTCCGATTTTTCAAGTTTTGTAAACGAAAATCTATTACAAAGATATGGATAAATTGTGACCATTACATATTTGCACAGAATAGGGAATTTTTACTGAAGTATTCATAAATATGTTTGAATCTAGCTGTTAAAGATTTCTTATTATGTATATCCATTATATCCTTTATAGTTTTCAAGAGTTTCCTTTTAACTCGTCTCAGAATATTTGTCTTTTTTTCGAAGAATTAAAATTTTCTAATTAGATTAGAATTTTCAAGTCAATTTCCAATATTCCTGATTCAATATAATTCATCTAAACGTTTCTTCGTTACTTAAATGTTTCTTGTGCCATTCTGTAAAAGTTTAAAGCGCAATAAAACTAGAAAGTGTCATCTTAAATTTCAGTCACGAAATCATGGTAAAATGATCGTACTTTTCAATTGATGAAACCACGTGAACCGGAATATCTCCTTTCACCATATAACCGGGAAAGTTTTAAACATTGTCAAACATGTAGTACGCGGAATACGTATGAATGTGCATCACTATAGCGTCTGAATACAAATAGCTCGTTTTGGGTGGCTTCCAAATATGCAAAATCATCGAAAGTGATACTGTTACTAGGGAAACGTACTTAATTATGTATTCAGAGAAAAATTGAATATGTTACTTAAAAATAGAATCAAATTTAATTGTAATTGTAAATGTATTTAAACTTAGTTAAAGTAAAAAGTTGATTCTAAAAAATAATATCTTTTAAAAAATAATATTGTTTTAACAATGTTAGAATAATAATTAATGTTATTAATTGCTCTAATTTATTTGACGGTCTAAATTTTAAGTTCACAATTATAATTACGTAATTAGATATAACAGCAGGTACTTGTAATTAATTAATTATTGCTAATAATTAATTTAATCCTATTCATTAAATTTACAGTATATTTACTTTTCCGTATTTACAAAGTAATACACAATTAATCGGTGTTCATATAAATAATATTTTTATAGTAGTTCTTCGTAGGAAAAATAATTTGAAATTAAGTCTTAATAGGTTACACAATCTCGTTACACAAACACGTTATTTTTTTTTTTTTTACAAAAATATCTACTTATACTTACAAATAAATAAATTGTTCACTTAATAAAAATACATGCAAGTACACAAAATTGATAAATATAAATACACTGGCCATGTTGAAGTTCAAATTACGCACTTGAAACATTGATGAAAGTCTTTAAAATTAAAACAATAGAATAGTTAACTATTCACAACTAAAAATTGTATTATTCAGCCTCCAGATTCAAGGAATATTTGCATGTCATCGTTTAGCTCGTGATACCTATAAAAATAATTTATAAGAAAAAAAGAGAAAGAATTATCAATTAAATCATATAGAAAACACGAGTGAATATTTCCAATATTTCTCGATAATTTATTACCTTTGAGTGTCCAGAGTAAAGTACCGGTCCATCCACAGTGTCTTCCGCCGCTTCTTCGTTGTTTTCGTTCAAATTCAACGTAGCAAACTCTTCGTGTTCCATAATTCCCCACAAAGGAATATTTTCCTTTCCCGTGGATGCAACAGCAAGATTATTTACTGCTTGTGGAAGCACTTGGTAGGCTTTCTCGATCGCTTCAAATTCGCTGAAATTATTCTTATCGTTGCTCACGTTATTAGTGATACTTATTCGCTGTGAATGATCTCTTTTCCCTTGTCCCTTGCGATTTTCATAGTCGTTTTTCGAGGATACTTTTAGTATCGGTTGTGGAGTTACCACGTAAACTCGTTCTTTATTTACAGGTAATATCGACACAGAGTGTGCCTCCCACGTGGAGTTTTCTTCTAACATAGATTCATTTACGTCGTGCAAATCATTGGCTGTTATTTTCGGATTATTTATTCGTACAACATTTATGGCCTAGAAAGCAAAGTTAGAAATCAATATAAATTGATACGAATGTATTATTATTATTTTCTTGTCTACTTTATTATAATTTATCCCTTAGTGTCAAATTGACACAATCGTAAAAAATTAATATCTGGAAATTCAATTCAATTTTTATTTGCTTGTTGAACAATTCTCACCTTTCTACTTTTGTCTAATATTATAACTATTTATTTGGATCCTGCTAAAACTACTATATTCATAAATAAAATATCAATTATTAAATATTTACGAAAAGACATTAAATGCATAATTGTAGTATAATATAATAATTAAAAAGCAATGTACTGCTTGTTCAAAAGATTTGAAAGTGAATATTGCAATATTCTAACATATTATAAAAAACATATATACATATATATACATATATGTTGAATACATATATTATCATATATAATGTATATTATATATTAGCGAAACAGATGTTACAGAGCCTACATATATACATATATGCTACAAAATAGTATAATACTTTTTAAGAAAAATGTGTCAAATTGATGGGTGATAGTAATTAATACCATTGAATGACTTGAATCATTAATAAATTAGAAGATCATAAATAAGAATGTAGACAAGTAATAATATTATATATTAAAATACTATATTATACTGGTAGTATTTTTAAATATGTAATCCACGGATCAACAAGATTATCAAATGTCAAAGACTGAGAGAAAGCAGACTTCAGAATAATAAAAATTTCAAACAACATTTAGCTAAATAAGATAATACGTTATTCAATATTTTTTAAATATATTATTCGAGAAAAGAATATCTCGGGGATCTGCAGAAATTATTTATCGTTCCGTAATAATTAAAAGGTTAAAAAGCACTGATATAATATATTATATTATATATAGTATATATAATTATATTAATTATATTAATATATAATATAGTATGTTATATTAACTATATTATTATACAGTTAATAATTATTAAAATTTACTACTAATGCTAATTAATAAAGCATTATTAAATAATATTACTAACTACAAAAATAAATAACAATTTACATAATGATTATTATCAGGCTGCAGATTTTTATGCATTTATAGAAAATTTCAAAATATAAAATTATATAAAATACACGTAATATGAAAAAATACATAAAGTATCCAAAGTATTAATTTTCTAACTTAAGGTTCTACTTTTTTATTTATCCTTGAAAATATAAATTTCTATAAGAATCCGCAGTCTAGTTAATACAAATGGAAAAAGTAGAGTTCACACATTAAATTACCGGTTGAGTTGCTTCAATGTGGTTGCTCGCGAAGCCTTCGTGTTCTATTTCGTTAAAGCTAAACCCAGCCAAAGAGTACGTTTTCACACTTTCATTATGGCGTTTCAATTCGTTTATATGATCACCTGGTTCTGTCGTTGTTAAATATTCCGTTGGTATTTTCTTTGATGGAGAAAGGTAAGGGTGCAAAGAACTAGGTAAAATTGTGCTAGATGTTGTAGATTTTGAATATTCCTATAAAAAAATATAAAATTAAAATATAAAATATATTAAGTATCAATTTTAACAATACAGAAAGGTTAAAAATATATTGTGAATACTATGGCGTATTAACCAATGCAAAATTATCTGAAATTAATCTGAAATTAAATAGACAAAATTAATTTGACGAGGAAATTTTTAAAAATTCTAATCGCTACGTGCATTTGAATTATTCCCTGATATAATGCAAAAAACAATGAAATAAATTTTAAATTTTCTTTTAAGGAAAAGAGAAAGATGTGAAAAAGAAATTGCATAGCATATATTAAATATTAATTAAACGTTTCAGGAATTTATTTATTTAAAAAAGAAACTTACTTGTATTGTCCAGTTATCGATATTTTTTTGTAACCTTCGAACATCAATCGAAGTATTTGCTTTTGTTGTAGTGCTTTTTAAATCTTCTGCTGTAGTTAAAAATGGTTTGATTGATTGCACATTTAGTTTCTTTGAATTATTCAAGTTAAATTGCGATTGATTAACTACTTGAATATTATTCCTAGATTCTTGTTGAAGATAATTATCAACGTTCAATTCACTCCTAGAGGGAATTTTTCTAGAATGCGTATGTTCAGAATTAGTTTTAATACTCCAGTCTCCGTAGGATTGTTGAAATGGAATTGGTGTATATTCTGACGTGTATGGTATAATAACCTGTACCTAAAATATTATTATTTTCATTGATTTGTCATTTTTGTCATCAGTAAGATATACTTTATTTTACGATAAATTAAATTTTTTAGAGTACAGGTGATAAAATTGCAAAATTTTTACTCTTGTAAATTTATATCAGCTTAATGTTCATAAATTTAATTTTAAAATTACTTTTAAAAAACTTTTGTAATTTTCCTGTAATAAATTATATAATATACAGATTGTATTGACACAACTTCAGTGATGGATTCATCATGTATAAACATATGGTCAATGTGGCTTTGTTCTTGAAATATAACCGTTTTTATTGTGTCATTATTTACTTGCTTTCACAAAAATCACTCGATGTGATCACTTTCGCCTCGAATATGAGCTTCTACATAAGCGCTTTGTGATTGAAATTCTGATTTGATCAAAGTTGTACGATATTGTTCAAATTTCTTGACAATCGTTCACGACTATCATATACGTTTATAAATACGTTTAGAAATATTTATAAACAATTAAATAAATTTTAATTTAATTTATCACTCAGTTTATCAAAAGAATCATTGGAAAATACGAATTCTATCTCAGAAACAAGATCACATCATGAATATATTTATATGAATTCTTTTTTTTTCTTATTTTAGTGTGCTGAATTCTCTCTTTCATACATATAACATAATAAATTTAATAAAATTTCCCATATCTAAACATCATTTGAATATTCTAATATTCAAATGCTTTCAGAACATCCTATTATTTAAAAAGAATATTTGCTAGTAACTGATGCTTTTTCTTGTACTAAACTATTCTATATGATTATTATTACGCATTACTGTAATATCAAATATGAGATACAAGACTATTAAAAAAAACAATATTGATGGAATGTAATATAAGAACTTTAACTTTGCAATAAAACGTTTTGCTTATGAATGACAAAGATATCTTTTAAATATAATTTTTTGGCACACTGAAATAGCAAAAGAAAATAATGACGACGTATCTTCCGACAAAAAGAAGAGTTTGCTAATTTGAAATACGAAAAGAACATGTACACTACAAATATTGTAGTAAAAAGTAGTTAGTAGAAAATGTTAATTAAAAAAATATGTAACATTCTAAAATATTAAAATAAACTGACAATGTCTATTTCAATTTCCGTTTTTTCGAAAATTCCTTAATCGAACATTTTTAGTTCGGATATTAGAAATTCTATCATACATATACATATTATACTATTCATACGAACAAAATATGTTTGTGTCACTGAATTATTTCATTGATTTTATAAACTGTACTTCATTATCAATTATTT